GCAGACTCAGTAAGCACGGCCACATGGAGTCACCTGAATGCTGAATAATCATCATGTGACCTTCTCTTTCCTCTCTGTTTCAGGCTGGAGCTCTGCGTCCCAGACTCTGGAGGTCCGGTTAGGGGAAGACGTCACTCTGATGTGCTCCAACATTTCTAAGTCTGTCACCCAGACCGACTGGTTCAGAGTGGTCAATGGAACTGAACCCAGCTGTGTCTCCTCGATGTATTACGCTCATGAAGCTACAGTCTGTTATGGATTTAAAAGTGGAAAATTTAATATGAGCTCCAACGTCAGCACCACTTTTCTGCAAATCAAAGGAGTGGATTTCTCTGATTCTGGGCTGTATTTCTGTGGATTTTACAAAAAGAGACACACAATTCTGGTCTGTGCAGTGGAATTAACAAGAAAAGGTAACACTTAAGTCGTTAAATATGTGAAATATACTTATCATCAGATCTTATTTCAATCATCGTGTTAAATGTAAGTTATGATAGTAGAATTCTGAAAACAGCCCAAAGACAAACAGGAAATTCATATGAATAATATTTAATCGCTTCTATGTTCTCTTTACAGGTCATAATGAATCCAATAAAAAGGCACATCCAGACAGTGGAGGTAAGTTTTTATTTACTACTTTCACATCGCTATAGTCAAGACAAAGAAGAAATCTATTTGCACTGACATTTTCTTTACAGGTAAACATGAAAATATTAAGTTAATCTCTCATAATTCCTAACTAACTCTAAAATAAACAATGTGTGCAGTTCCTCCAAAAGACGGAGAATCCTACACTGTAACTTACGGTTGTCTGATAGTTTTCTTCTTGATGGCTGTTGTTGGCGTGGTCCTCAAAGCTAAATGCCCAAGCAAAGGTAAAGCTGACATGTGATCTTTGGACCGTCCTTACACGTTTTGTAACCGATTGAAATCTGATCAGACTTTAATTTCTTCATGTAGAATGAAAGGAGACGAGCCCAGGCAGAAACAAGGTGAGAGATCTTTTTCAGATATTCAAATGCCACCATGAGTTCTAGTGTGTGCTTTGTTTTTTTTCTGTATGGCGCCATGTCTCAACCTCGGTTTGGACGGTTTCATCCTCTTACAGGTACTGACTCAAGAAATACACAGAAATGTTGAATAATTTGTGTCCACAGGAAAAATGTCAGCTGTTTTTTAAAGTGTTTATTTTCCTGCATCCTTGCGCTCCCTTGGTTGTTTCTACTTGGTCAAGCCTATTTATTTGGAACGATAAGGTTGAGGATGGTAACTCACAATGCTTGCAGACAAAATGGAACTGTGTGGGATGGTGATCAGATGTATACATGGAACTCAAGCTGGAACATGTACAGACTCTGTTTTGGTGTCACCCTGTGATTGTAAATGCTTCTCTTTCAGGCTCTGGGCTCCTCTGCAACTCTGGGTTTCCCTCCAAAAACTAAAGGAAGCAGGAAGCCTGCTGAAGACAGAGCCGTGGGGACTCATGTTATCTATGCTTTCATTAGATAGACAACACATCTTTCTTCTGTGTTTGATTGAAAATGACATTTTTTGTATTAAAGTTTTCATATGAGGCTGTATGTGCCTTGAAAAAAAAAAATTGTGTCCACCTGCGATGAACACGGAAAGGGATTCTGATTAGTCAGGAGGAGCCAAACCAGACACAGATTATCATAAAAACTCAAAGTGGGAGTCGCACAATCTGCAGTGGAGAGGAAGGGGTAAGACACACATCACTGAACAGGAAGAGGCAGCACCGTGTGGTCTGAGCAGAAAAAGCCTCGGCAGGCCGCCTCTCTCAACCCTGCACTGGAGTTGGTGCTGATTTACTGTAAGATTAAGTTTAAAGTGAGCAGTAGAATAATGAAAATCCTGATCAAGGTATATAAACTGGCTTGGAGTCTTTAAAAACAGGAAGACTGCAAGCTGACTACAAACGTCAAAAGACAGCACAAAGTAAACCCTGAACTTAAACTTAAAAACAGTCTCCCAGAGAGTCCCTGTAGCTCTCAGCTCCTCTCTGTGTGATGCTGGTGGTCACTGAGCAGGAAGCAACAAGTGAGAGGTGTGAGCAGGGACGGATTAAGGGTAGTCTGGGCCCCGGGGCAAAGAATTCGCCCAAGCCCCGCCCCCCCCCCCCCCCCAAAAAAAAAAAATAATAAATAATTTTTTTTACAAACCATGCTATTTTGGATTGTGAATAAATTGAAGCGGTTTGTCGCTTTACGTCTTTCCGGAAAATCATAGCTAGCCTGGCCGTGGCACATTAAGCCACTGGTGTCGCAACGGAGTAGCCAGAGTTCAACGAAAACTAGCAGAAATACTAAGTGCAGCTATATGCACACGATCTCAAACCATGTAAATTAAAAATGCAAAGAGACTTAAATTGTTTAAACTAAGGGCAATCAGAAACACTGTCAATATGTTCAATGAAATGAACAACTTGCTAAAGTTTAGACGTGGCGGACTGGGAGAAAAAATCGGCCCTGGCAAAATGTAAAGTCCACCGCAGCAAAGCGACAATTCTTAGACGGGGGGGGGTGCGGATGATCGGAGCAGACTCTTGTGCTGCTGATTTTATTTTTCTTCGTGCATGATGCAAATATAAGGAGGCCGAAATATAATAATAATAATACATATAATTAATATACATGTCGGGTCTGCCGGCCCAAACAGCACGGCGGCCCACCGGGAAAATGCCCGGTACGCCCGGTTACCAGTCCATGCCTAGACGTGTAGTGGAGTGTTAGCTGAAGTGCACCGTGGAGCCTAACTTGTTGGAAGGTGGGCGTGCCTTAGCTTGTCAGAGAGACAAGTTATGAAAGCTATGAAGCTACGAAATCTAACCTAAGATATAACGACACACACTACCGAACACAGTCAAAATCAGATTTCTAGAGACTGTATTGCTAACCAGTGCTGCCACGGCGGGCATATGATAAAGGAAACCATATTGTCCTACCTGAAATCATTGTGGCTGCATTCAATCTTGCTAGTAGCTGTGTGATCCATTTGTCTTCTTGCATCTTCGACTGTAATTGTACGTTCATTACATTTTCTATTCACTATTTTTCTGCCATCTACACTTGGCACGGCAAGGAAGCATGCTATAACAGATTAAAACAAAAAAACGAATAGGCTACCGGTCGCGCTTTCGCGCCGATGATCCAATAGAACGCATCGTTCTAATGGATCCGATAGAACGACGCGTTCTATTGGTCAGTTAGAACGCATCGTTTTATTGGTTAGTTAGAAAGCGTTTTTTTATTATTTTATTTTAACCCTTGTGTGGTGTTCGGGTCAGTAGGACCTGTTTTAATTTTTTACTAAAAGAAAAATGATACAATGAATTAATTTTTCAAACTGAGACTCACTGGCTTTGGCTCATTTTCTGTCAAGAACATATATCAGAACTCATATTTAATGCCCGCACACCGTACACCCCCCTACACATTTCTATTACACATAAGATGTTCTGGTCCACTGGACCCGGGGCTAAAAGAAGTGTGGAAATTAATGTTCTGTGAACCACACACACACGCACACACACACACACACACACACACACACACACACACACACACACAC